AACACGACAAACATTCTTTAACACAAACCATGGTAAAACACGACAAATATTCTCTGACACAAACCATCGTAAAACACGACAAACATTCTTTAACACAAACCATGGTAAAACACGACAAATATTCTCTGACACAAACCATGGTAAAACACGACAAACATTCTCTGACACAAACCATCGTAAAACATGACAAACATTCTCTGACACAAACCATGGTAAAACACGACAAACAATCTCTGACACAAACCATGGTAAAACACGACAAACATTCTCTGACACAAACCATGGTAAAACACGACAAACATTCTCTGACACAAACCATGGTAAAACACGACAAACATTCTCTGACACAAACCATCGTAAAACACGACAACCATTCTCTGACACAAACCATGGTAAAACACGACAAACAATCTCTGACACAAACCATGGTAAAATACGACAAACATTCTCTGACATAAACCATGGTAAAACACGACAAACATTCTCTGACACAAACCATGGTAAAACACGACAAACATTCTCTGACACAAACCGCATGACAAACATTTTCTGACACAAACCACATGACAAACAATCTCTGACACAAACCATCGTAAAACACGACAAACATTCTGTGACGCTAATCATGGTAAAACATAACAAACATTCTTTGACACAAACCACATGACAAACATGACAATCATTCTTGGGAAAATAAAATGTTAATTTAATTTGCGCAACCTATCGTTTTGTAAAATATGTTGCTAAAAATTCAAAAAATGCAAATTTTAATCTTATTTAAATCATAGCATGTAAACAACCTTTATAACACAAAATACTGGGCCCTTAAAAATGGGGATATTAAAATAATGTGGGATAATTTTTAAATAAAATAGAACTCAATACATAGGTTCTGCTGACCCTATTAACTCTTAAAAACCAGAATCTGGTTGCTGTTGTTTTCGGTTTTTTTTAATAGCACAACGTACCGTTAATCCATGAACTTACAGGGGTGAACTTTAAAATGTTTCAAAACTGCTTTCAGAATGTCTTGTTTTTTTTCCTCCGGTTCTGAGGATTGTCCTCTAATCTGATCTATCTACTTCCAATTTATTCCTATAGATCATTGTTATTAATAACTCAACTACCACCAGGTGAAAAACTTCAATAGGCCTAAATTATATATACGCACATCTAACGAATGTTTTTGCTCTGACTCTATTATAAACATTTTTTAAGGATGCTACATAGATAATATCAATTAAAACTTTAACTAGATTTAATTTTCACGTAAGGCCCAGATAGCATGCGGCTTTATTACAGAACAATTACTCCAGAAAAAAATAACATGTAAAATAAACAATTTTATCAATATTAAAAAAAAAAAACTTGACCAAAAAAAAAAAAAAAAAAAAACCAAAAAAAAAAAGAAAAAAAAAAAAAGAAAAAAAAAAAATTTAAAAAAAATAAAAAAAAAAAAACTTGACCAAAAAAAAAAAAAAAAACACCCTTAAACGATAAGGTAAGAATAACGCATGTGCTGTCCAGCAGATGTCGCGTTCGTCTCTACGAATGTCGTATATAAAACGCACATGTATGTGCGGGGGATGTGTGTAAAGTGCGCACTAGGCGTGCAAAATAAATTCCCCAGATGCTTGCACCCATTTGGGGCCTTTATTTTTTAAATACAGGAAAACAAAATCCTTCATAACAGACAATAGATTTGAGTTTTTTGTTTTTTTTAACTTCAATTCTTATTCCATGATCTTATAACTTTTATCAATCGGTTAGCACGGACGGGTGTATCTGCTAGTTACCGTATTTTACGGACTATAAGACGCACATTAATTTTTTAGCATTTTTTAAAATACCATTTTACCATTTTTATATTAATTTAGAGTATAAGACGCACCTGAATTTGTGAGGCAATTAATGCGGTAACTATAAAAATCACATGCGAAAGAGAAATTTAGTGTTGTCATAATTGTTTGACATTGTAACACGATGGTTTTAAAAGAAAATAGTGTTACAACATTAAGAAAACATGTCAGAAATATTTTTTGAAAAAGGACACAGATTTCTGAATGGCCATGACATGAAACATCATGAAACAATTCATTGTCTTCGGGCGGGACATACAAAACTCGGGCGGACAAACATCAGAATCAACTGCCTGGTAGGAAGTGAAGGGATCCACACAGGTTACGGAACCTTGCCAGACAATAAAGTCAGCTATCTATAGCGTTGTAAGGGCAGCCCCCCCCCCCCGCCAACCCACCCTTGGTGGTTGTGCACAGGGCTAACAACCCAGCCCGGTAAAAGATCGTACATTCTTAGTTCCTATACTTACTGGACATCTATGGTTAATGTTACCAAGCCAGACCGCAAATGTGTGAGAGCAAAGATGGACTTATGGTTGAAATGGCTAGAAAGACTTTGCCATTGTATGCTTGTACTTAGTTTTTGTCGTGTTGCGTTTGTTTTAAATGTGGTAAACTATAGATTTGTTGTTTTTTTTGACTTTGTACCGCGCTTCGAGCCTTTGGGGATGAAGCGTGTTTTTGAAATGAACTTTATTATTATTATTATTATCTGCCTCACTTGCTTTACGAAAGCCAATTAACAAAATAAAAACTCGAACTTACACTAACGGAAATCGGTCTATGCCTGGTTGTGGACATGATTTTTGGATTGCGACTAGGAAAGTACTAAGCCTGTTTAGAGCAGGAGCCTTAGGCCACGTAATGGAGAAACGAATTAAATTAAAAATCTCTATCGCTGCATTGAGCGAAATTTGATCGCGAAATTCAGGTATCCTCAGGAAAAAAGACTACACATATTTAAAAGTTGCAACAACACTAAAACTCTGAGAAGAAAGATGGCGTCAGCGCAGTCGTGAGATTTGAACCGGTGAGCTCTTTGTGTGTGCTCGGGAAAATGTTTTAAACATTATTTATAAATATCCATGCTCCCACCAAAGGTACAGAAGATCAGATAAAAGAATTCTTTTATGAGACACTGGGGGAAAAATCTGTGATGATGCACGATGCCGTGGTTAAAATCGTGGTTGAAGCACACTCACAAACAGAAAAATCAAAGTAGGAAATATGCAGCGAACAACAACATAGATGAACTGTGGTATATGATGAAAATATCTACTGAATATTTGGTAGGATTTTAACTAAACTAATAGTAGAGTAGGGTGGTTCGTCGAAGTATGGAACAATGCAAAAGGGATCATGATGCAAAGGGAAACCAGATGTAAGAAGAAATATGTGAAGCTAGGAAGAAATTTACGAAAATGTTTAGGAAGAAAAGGAGGGAATGGGAGAAATTTAAACCAAAAGAAATCGAAGACTTATCAAAAGAGAGGAAAATATCAGAGAAATGTACATGAACATAAAAGCTGCAAAGAATGGATACCAAGCCAGACCGCAAATGTGTGACAGCAAAGATGGAAAATCAAGTACGGAAAATAGAATAAAGTACTGGAGAGGTAGGCTGAATACCTTGAGGGAATACTAAATGCAGACAATGAGCAAGATAAAGAGTATTAACCACCACAATGGAGGACCAGACCCAAGATGAAGAGTATTAACCACCAAAATGGAGGACCAGACCCAAGATGAAGAGTATTAACCACCAAAATGGAGGACCAGACCCAAGATGAAGAGTATTAACCACCAACCACAATGGAGGACCAGACCCAAGATGAAGAGTATTAACCACCAAAATGGAGGACCAGACCCAAGATGAAGAGTATTAACCACCAAAATGGAGGACCAGACCCAAGATGAAGAGTATTAACCACCAAAATGGAGGACCAGACCCAAGATGAAGAGTATTAACCACCACAATGGAGGACCAGACCCAAGATGAAGAGTATTAACCACCAAAATGGAGGACCAGACCCAAGATGAAGAGTATTAACCACCAAAATGGAGGACCAGACCCAAGATGAAGAGTATTAACCACCACAATGGAGGACCAGGCCCAAGATTAAGAGTATTAACCACCACAATGGAGGACCAGACCCAAGATGAAGAGTATTAACCACAACATCCAGGACCAGGCCCTTTAATAAACTCGCTAAGTTTGTAAGAACCTACAGAAGTACTCAATGCTATGAAAAAAAACACAAAGCCCCTGGAGAAGATCTCAACAAAGCAGAACTGATTTAATATAGAGGAAGAGAACTACACACTCGGACTCATAAACGTATTACAAAAATCGGGCAAGAAATGTAAATTCTAACAGAATGGGAAACATCACTAATAACCCCAATACACAAGGAAAATTCCTCCTTCAATGCACACACTACAAAGAAATTTTCTTTTTAATGTACATACTGACTAAACTAATTGCCAAGAGGCTACACCCGTAGACTGAAGAAACATTAGGTAAATATCAACGCTGGGCAGGACATTTAGAGCGGATGCCAACTGACATAGGATTGCACCACAAAATTACTAGAGGAAAACTACTCAAAGACATACAAGGGCTAATATGAATCATGTGGGAAAAGATCTACATCAATTAGGAATCCACACGTGGAAAAGAAAAGCATCAGTTAGATCTGAGTGGAAAGAAGTGGTGAGGCAGGCCAAAGCCCTACATGGGACAGTGCCACAGGGGCGGATAGATATACATCCCGGAATCCCTATTCTAAATGTATTGTTATTTTTCTTCTTGAATTCTTTTACTTCCTGTAAGACATTTTTTTTTTGGTTTTATACAACTTACGGTCTCCTTCATAACAAAAGACTAGCAAAGTTTCAATTTTCTAACTTTCCATTTGTTTCTTGTTTTGACCGCTGATGAAGGCTTTTGGCCAAAAAGTTCATTTTAATTTTCCTGTTGTTTTAGTTGTTTTTTTTTTTTTTCGTTCTAATATGTTGTTGTATTATTTCCTTCAGGTGGCCTGAACGCATTCCCTTATAAATTAAACTCAAAAGCATAGTCAAACAAGGATCATCCGAATACAATTACGGAGCACGTCCCTTCTCGATCTCCGTAGGAACTTACTTAAGGCCAACTCCGAACATGGACAGCAGCGTCGACCTGAACCGCGTGTTAAACGTGAGGTACACGAACATGTTGCACGAGACGTGCAGGGATTCCGCCAGGATCCTGAAGGTGTTGGTCATCAGGTAAGTGTTCTCATACACGCCGTACAGGCTGTAGTCGGGGATGCACAGGATGACGTAGTAATTCAAAAGTTTGAACGTGTTGCACGAGACAAACAAGACGGCCACAAACGTCGTAGACTTTATCGCTTGTAATTCTTTACTAGAGGTCGTCTTAACCGGGCGAGCGGCAGACTTGATATCCGCATCCCTAGTCGTGATGACATCTGATTGTGTTGTCTCCGCGATTTCTTCGTTAGAGTCTGGCTCTCGGTTCTTTAGATTCATCTTGTCGGGAATCCCAAATTTTTTCGAACGCTTATTGTCGCATTTCGTACTTTTACTTTTAAGTTCAGAAATCTGCTCGATGCTGGAGATCGTCGTGGACGTCCTGAATTTCGAGGAGGCGCGTAAACTCGAGGCAAGAATGATCACGCAGAATATGACTGTGAACTGACACGTGGTGGTAAACACTAAAGCCACGAGCCCTACAGCCGAGAATATCACGCCCCGATTCTCCGACGTCCATAATTTGAAAAGAGTTTTATTGGTAGCCGGGTCAAACTCGCCGGGCAGCCCCTGGCTCGCGAAAATCGGGATGTAGAGCGTGAAGAACATCAGCGAAATCGCCGTCAAGATGACCGTGGTGCGTCTCGTAGTGAACGTGTTCTTGAAGCGGAACGGCAGCGCCACGCACCAGCACTTCTGCACCGCGATGAACGTCGTGATGCCCTGGGAGATATCGTAGAACGAGCCGTAGTAGAACGCCATCAGCCAGCACAGGCCTTTCCCGTCGACCTGGTAGCGTTCCCAGAGGATCTCCTTGAACATCATGGCGGCGTCCTCCACGATCAGCAGCAGCACGCACATCAGGTCCGAGCACGAGAGCACGAAGAAGCACATAGTGATGCTGTCCTTGAGCTTGAGCTTCAGGTAGATGATGATGTTGATGATGTTGGCGATCAGACCGAGGAGGTACACCGGCGGCTGAATGATCGCCCCGAAAACGTAGATGGCGAAGTCTACGGATTCTTTTGTTGTGAAGTCAACAAGAGTTATCTTCACCACATCCGTGGCATTCATTTCTTTGTATACTTTTTATTTATTCAAAAGCAGAGAATTATTTTTAGAAATTTAATGGTAGAATCTTTTAAAAATTAGTTTTTGTCTTGTGCTCCTTGTTCTGAAAAGGAATTAGGACACAAAAAAGCAAATAAGTATGTGGCTGGAAGCAACCCTCTCCTTCTCAAACAATGAATTTAATTTTTAAAATTTAAAAAAAACATGAACATTTTTATTCGTTTATATTAGTATTCACAACACATAGTTTAAAACAGACACATTCTCCTATAAATGTAAGAAAGAAGTGTATTTCATGCTTACACTACTCAAAAGCTAGAAAATTTACATCGCATTAATTAACAAACTTATGCGCCAATTCATGGGACAGCATCATAAATAAATCTCGCCACTTGTGTTCTAAAATTATGTTACTATGCCCTCCGCCCCACACTGCCATCGAAGAAAACAAAACATTGAGTCTTCTCTGGATAAATCAA